CTACTGTTTACTGCTAAAAGCAAGATTACAAGTGTAAGGCTTGGAATGCGTGTTTTTATCTTCTAAGAAACTACAACTTTTTGTTACTTCATAATCTGAGGAGTCCTCCTCTTAGGAACTTCACATCAGAAAAGCCATTCTGTCTGCAGGTTTTATTGGGTTATTGATTGATTATCAGGCAGTCAAAGGCCAAATTCAAACATACTGCAAGTTGTTTAATAATCAATAAACGTAAGAGGAAGGGAATGCATATTCATATGAAGTGAAGTTCAGCCCATTGTGCTTTCTCATATGCATATAACTTGAATGTAATTTTATATTATTCTGATTGTACTTAGATTTATAGAAATGAAAGTGTGTGCTTTTTGCTGAAGGATATGGGGATAGTGAGTGAAATACCAGGACCTAGAAAAATCATTCAGGTAACAGCAGTATAAGGAAGAGTACTTGCTGTAAAGTGTACACTTTGTCTTTCAGTTTCTGCAGACTTAGCTCAAAAATGGTCCCTCACTCTCTTTATAAAAATAAAAATATCCAGTATAGAATTTACTTATTAATACTTGTACCCCATTTGTAATAAGTTCTTTTGTGCACTTATACAGACTACATTTTGACTACAGTTTTTTTGGTCAGTGTATATATATTTTATCATTAACACTGGAACTGTATCTGTTTAAGCTGTATATTTATGTATTTTGAACATAGAGATCAGCGTGACTTTGCCCATTTTCGTTCTTTGAATTCTTTCTTAGGAAGCCAAATATAACATACATACACAATAACCTCATATTTGAAGGGAAGTATACTAGCAAAGTGGAAGGAAAGAAATTCAGAAACATAGCTTCCTTTAGTAGAAAACCATTCTTCCCAGTATTGTACTATTCAGCCTTCCTCTGAACAAAGCTACTTCCAACTATCTGCAATTCCTGCATATAAATCACAGATTCTTGGAATGTTCTTTAAACAGATTTTGAACTGTTACAAAATGAAATTTAACATCCTTTGTGGTCATATCAGAAATCTCTGATTGAATGACCAAACCTCTTGATTTCCAGTCTTCCTTCTCTGTCAGTCTGGGCAGAGTGGTTTTTGCTATTTTTTTTTTTTTTTTTGTCTACCTGCTGTTCCTGATTATGAACGTCATCTCAGCAGTTTCCAGCTCTGTTATTACAAATCGACACACCCAATGCCTGTATTCCTTTATGGTCACTGAAATGAGATCCTCACAAGGCGTTAGTTTGTTTGAAGTGTTTGGACCTTACAATTTTTCCATCGACTACAGTTGTGTGCTACGCCAGCCTCAGATCCTGAATATACAACATTTCTACATCCTTGTGCAATTCTTCATCTTAAGTCTATGTTTTGCTAATATAGTACTTGTTTCACCATCCAAAAAGTGTAATTCCTTAGCTCCTGATTTCCTAGTCTGATGTGTATACAGAGAGACCCCTTGATGTAGCAAGTCTATGCTGTTTTTCTTATCTCTTTATTAGGAATTCTAATGTGTGTGAATCCATTGCAAACAATTTAAATAGCTTATACGGCTATTGTATATGACACATAGGGAAAATAGCAGATGATATATAAGTTGCCATCGGTTCTATGACTGTTAAAAGCCATTTTTCTCTTGCATTTAATCAGTTAAATTTGTATTAATTGAATTCCTGTCTTATTCTACTCCTTCCATCAGTCAGGTCAAGAACTTTGCATTCTCTATGATGGAGTTAGCTTATATTGGATTTGAGAAGTAACTTCTAAATGGCTCTTATAATAGATTGCAGAGGCTGTGAGAACAAGCAGTCAAATTCTTGATTATCTGTTCTACCAGAGAAGAATAGCAATGAATCAAAACTATGGCCGTTTTCTCAGGCAAGAATTAAGTGTTATTCCAAGGAGCTTTTTAATGCTGTTTTCACCAGTAGTCATAAGTAAAGCAACTTCTAAGCAGACAACCTACCCCTTTTAAACTGAAATATGATGCTCCGGGGTGCTGGTAAAAGAAAATACTGTTTCTGGTTCAAGTCACGTGTAACAGATCATGGCTGTTAAAACCCTTTGTTAGTGGAATGAATCGGTATTGACCGCTTGGTTTCTGCTGTGGGTCAGCTGGAGCATTAGCTTGTCAGTTAATTGGAAACTTGTGAGGGGCTTCTCCATGATGATGTTTGGTAGTAGAAGAGGAAAGCCTGGGAATAAGATTAATGATAAACCATTCTTGCTGGTAAAAGAAAACGCTGTTTTCTGTAAAAATTCTGGCTAGTTCATGCCCAGTTCTGATTATTGCTTGTGAATAATATGATGAGTTGATTTCTAAAAGGATAAGGAGTTCCTACAGTAGCACACTGATGGCTAACAAATAAATTCGAAGCAGGATACTACTGTGAAATTCATACAGTAAGTAATAAAGAAGATGGATGTGAGGGTTTGTATGAATGCTGTAAATGTAATAAAAAAACTTTAGATTTTGTGATCAATGCATAACAGTATCTTGAGTCAAAACTGGTTTATTGATGCTGTTGTTTTTTACTGATGTTGCTCAGATTAATGTAGAACTTTCTCAAAATTCTACTCTCACTGAAATAGCAGTTTGTAGTAGTTTATATTATTTTTCAGTGGCTTTAATAGATGATCATAAAAGAAATCAGAGGATAAAGGTGCCTTTTCTCACTCAAGTGCTAGACCTGAGTCCGTGTGGGTTTGCAAATTGTCAGTAAGGATTCTACAACTAGGCCATAGTTTGCAATGCTGTTTGAGACATGTGGCTTAAAAAGAAATAAAAAATTGATCTTGTTTCCTCTTAGCTATGTGAATTCTACAGAGGACTGAGACATCATATAAAGATGTGTGTGTGTGTGGGGGGGGATGTTCTTTGTGAGGAAAGTAAACAGCTGAGAGGAAATACATACTGAAGAGGTTTGTTAAATAGAGGTGCCATTTTTGCGTTGTAGTTCTTCTGGCTATAACTGCACTTTACGTTTTTATTATGTCTTGGATCTTTGGAGCTGAATTTTATAAGTCAGGTTGAGAACAACTGGGTCAGTCACCCATTACTCATTCAATTACACACTGCAGCCCTGCTGCTCCCAGCTGACATCTGTACACAAGGCATGGCTCTTTTCTACATAACCTGTCCAGCTCCAATGCTACTTGTATAGATGCTAAGTCCCTGGGAATTCCACAGTCTAAGAAGAGAAATGGTGTAAGAGTTTATTCCCCCCGGAGTGCCCAGGGGCAGGCAGGAGGCTGCTAATGGCATAATTTTGCATGTAATATTTTGTATTTTGCCCATATATCACCGTAGAAGAGGTTGCTTAGGGAGAAATTTGAGAATGCTATTTGGGAAATGTTGTTAAATCACTTTTGTGGAGGTAGCAAGTGTATTTCTGTTTGCTACTTTACACAGGCAATAGCTTACATTGTCATAAACTGTTTCTGAGTGGTCTGCTTCATGTGGAGCTGGGAGGGATCCTGGTGTGCTGTGGTGTTAATGAGGTGCTTGACCTTGCTGTTCTGTGGGCTGAAGGTGTGCGCTTTGCAAAGGAGGGTGTTAGAGAAAGCAATACAAATAGGTTCATCATTAACTCAATTAGATGATAATTGCACAGCTGGATTCTGCCTGAGTCCATCTCTCTTTCTATGCGAAGTGGGGCAGAGTGTTTCAGCCAGGCTCTGTGGATGCTCAGTAGCTGAATGCAAGTCCAACTGCACGTTTGCTGGAGTTTGGGCTGAGTGCTAACTTTTGATGCTGAGCCCAATAAGTGCTGTGCTTAGGAAATGAGAACCAACAAGTTATAGAAAGAAAAACTGAAACGCATGCAAGTAGGTAGCAGGGCTCACGTGTGTCTCAAAGTGAGCATTCAGTGTTAATGCTTGTTCTGATTGACAATGTCTTTGTGTTTCTCTCATCTGTTAAATGAACACAAAGGTGCCTTATCTTGCAAGGGTGTCACTAGAATAAATCCAATCATTTTTTTTTTTTTTTCTGAAATGTTTGGGTACTTCAGTGATGAACATTAATGAAAAGCTCAGAAATATGTGAAAGTTTCTTTATTCAGAATGAATATCACTCTTAGGTTGTAAAGGACAATTTTTATAATGCATTTAAAAGGAAGAATTGAAATATTGCTGAAGGGGGAGCAGTGTATGTGAATTGAGTGGTCTTATGGAAAAGAAAATAATGTCTGACAATAACTGAATGTTGTATAAAAATGTACACCTACAAAATAGGAGGGAGGGAATTATTGCAGTAGCAAAAAGTGTCTATACTCACTCCTGATGTTTTATTGGCCTAGTATTTGAACTTTGTTAAAAATGTAACTAGTGCCCTTGGTGCTTGTAAATAAATTCCCAAAGTTATGTCAACAAAATCCTAGTGTTAAATTTTGTGTATGGAAGAAAACCTTGAGTTTGTCTTCACTGTGTGGATTATGTCTCAAAATCTGAATTTCGAATCAATTTTATGCAAGCATTTTGCAGATTTTTTATTAAACAATGGAAGATGAGTAGCAGTATTTCGTATAAAATCAGCATGAGAACAAATGACTGCATTTGAATTTTCACTGGCAAACTAACTTCTAAGAGGATAGTTGACTGCAAACTGTATTAGAATTGCCTTTCTTGTTAGGTCTTTTCTTGGTAGCTTAACAAGGCACCAGTTCTAGACCCTGCTTTGACCTCACATAGAACAGTTACACAAGTAGTCATAATTGTGTTTTAGATGCTGAAATGTGTTTATTGTACAACTCATTAATGGAGACCTGTACTCTATAAATTGTTTTGCAAATTAAGGGACTTAATGGATAGAAGTTGGGTAGAAAAAATCTCAGTTAACCACCAACAATGTTGAAACCAAATTTACGGATTTTATTTGTTTTTGGCTCCTTGTACTGTTGTGAGTCACCTTAAAGCCTACGTATTTCATTTCATATAAAAATGTGTCTTGTGTAGCAGACCATGATGAGCAGAGAAGGTCAACTTTATTTTATTTTAATCCTTTCTAGCCTTCAGGAAAAAGAACAGTCGCTCAGCGTGTCCATTAAAGAAACTACTGCCAAAGTAAGTACCCATCAGCTATCAGTTATTCTTCAGAATATTTAGAGAATCGCCTAATACATTGCATTATAATTGTCTGTATTCTGTAAAGTTTGTTTTTTTGTGTTTCCTCTGAACAGCTTTTACTGTTAAATATTTTTAAACATACACCCTAAAAAAAGATAATTACATTTTGACGGGCCACAGAGATTATGCTTAAGGAAGCAGATGGAATCATCTATTGTTTCTTGCCTTATGTTTACAAGTGATCAGTCTTGTTGCTGGCCTCAATTTAGGAACAGACTCCTTAGTGCTTCATGAAAAGAAAGTGAACTCCACTCACAGATGAATGTTTTCACGCTTTTGCCTCTTACTTCCTAGCTGTCAGATTTGGCTGGTGTGAAGAAAGAATAGAAACAAAGTTCCTCTTTCCCCTGTATTTCACTAATAATAAACTAGCAATCTTTTTAAAACTGCAAAGAAATGTAATGTTATTTGTCATATGTTGGTTTTTAATTGGAGGTGTTACAACTTTCCTTTTAGTTTTTGTTTTTCTCATGGTCGTCTTTCCATGAAATACACTACTGTATTTTCCTTGTTATTGCAAAAGTGGCTCATTGCGCACCATAGCTTCCTTGCTCTGAGTACTCTAGGAAGGTTTATTTATTTCTAATTCTTGTAGAAATATATGGAGCATAAAGGGGAAAACATTTGTTATTCAATCATTAATTTTTCTGAAATACATTTTTTCTCTCATGTTAGTTCTCTAATCTCTCAAAAATTAATGAAATATTTATCCTATGTACTCTATTTTTCATAATCATTTTCCCAACACTTTTAGCATGCACTGTTAAAAAGACTGACTGCATCACTGCATCTGCATACTTCTCCTTCCCCTTCTCCTGCTTTGATTTATTTTTTTTTCCTCCTCTGTTCCATGCATATGACTATCTCTTGGGGACTATTAATATAGATCATTATAATACAGCACTCCTCTCTGTATTTTTTTAAAATGACTCCAAATAAAGTGTCAGGAAAAGGATTATAATTTACCTTTGGGCCATCCACTGAAATGAACAAGGGATTTGGTAGCTCAAATTGGTGTGTCAAGCTATTGGCAAGTTAAAACATATGTTATGCAGTTTGTCTTTTCTCCTAAAAATGTGTGCCTGTACATTTTGAAGGTTTTTTTTAACCTGAAGTTAAAATAAGAAGTTTAACCTGAAGTTTTGAATAAGAACTGAAACATTAGGTAGCAACTGAAAAGTGAACATGGAAGAATTCCACAACCTATTTTGTTTCTTTAAATATTCAGTAGGTAAAATATTACTTTAATTTCATTCCATTCTTGTGTGATGGCTTCTATTTATTAAAAACAGTAAATAGGAAGCAGGTAATCAGACTCCTCCAAATCACTTATTAAATTCAATTGTTCAAATCTCATCATATTTTCTTCTCAACCTTATCAGAGCTGCTCTTTTTAAACCTTTTCATTTTATGGGAAAAATACTACTTTGTGAAAGGCTTCTTCCTTCCCCCTGTACCACAAGTGTTTATGTGGCCTTTTCTGCCTCATCTGTGCTGTTTTCAGCTGGGGTTGCAGAAGGTAAGATCAGACTGTCAGGGAAGGCAGACTCCTTTATCTATAAATCCTTCATCTGTATTCTTCCTGCAGCCATTAATATCAGCTTTTACAAATGTGAAGATTGTGCTGTGTGAAGGTATCCAGGTGGACTCTTCTTTCTTTTCTGGTGGCATAAAGACAATTTCCACGTCTTTTCTAAAGCACTGTTGTAAAGAAATGTGAAAGCTACTCAAAATTCTTTTTCTTTTTTTCTTTGGGATGGTTAGAGGAAGAGTTAATTTCAGTGTTTTGGTCTATATCCTTGTTCCTGTTTCTGCCACTTGAGATTAACATCATATGCTGTCAAGACAGAAAGAATAAAAATGGGTAAATTTTGCTTCTTTTCAGATTGATTCCACGTAGCTTTTCTAAACAGCATTCCACATTTTTAATTACAACTATCTTCTGAAGTGCTGTTTATGTACCTAACCAAAGATCTGTAGGATTTATTCCAAAAAAAAGGGGCACTTTTTTTTTTTTTTTTAAGTCGACAGAAACTAAAACCAACCAACCAAACAACACTAAGGATTTTTAAGAGAAATACTTTAATATTAGGCTGTAAAGAAGCTCCCATTTGGTTTTAGGGAAGTTTTTTGTAACTGGAGCTCCTTGGTCCAATTACTGAGTCCTCAAACATGAGTACGGGCTATCTGAATAGGAGCACAATGATAGCATGTTCACCTGGAGCAAAGGAGGGTGTGAGCTTTGTGAATGCTCATCATTACTGTTAGCTAGGAAATAAATAAATAAACAATTTTTCCTCAGAGGCTGAAAAAGCTGCTGTAACAAATAATGGTAGTTGCTGTTAGGGTAAAATAATAATAATAAAAAAAAAAAGTTAAAGGAATTGGACCTCATAGATTAGAATTGATGTAAAATAGAAGCAGGGCTATTAGTTTAGAAGACGTTAAATTATTTGCCTCTTCCAGTCTTTCATTTAATTTTGTTGAACTATGCCATATGATAGCTCTGAAGATTAATGTTTTTCATTTATCTGCAGAATACATGTGATGTAGATACACGCAGAGGCTCAGTAATGTATTTATCTCATGTTCCAGAAGAATTATCTCTGAGTTAGAGTATCCTTCTTTCAGCCTTTAGTCCCTGCATTTGGTCCATTAATAAAAAGTGCAAGCAAGCTTCATTCTGACAGTAATGCTTACAAAGTGCACAGTGTTTACTAGAAACTGTTTAAACCTCCTCCCATCTTGTTTTGCATAATTGCCAAATGTCTGTTTAGTGGTAATGACTTTAAGTTACTACCAGCATGAGATGTATTCACACAGTTTTCCTAGAGCTGAAAGACTCCCAGTCTAATTGCAATTCACTGAGCCATTCAGTACCCCTAAAGAGAGAACACTGCTTAGAAGGAAGTCATTAAAAACTTTAAGATTTGTTTTGGAGATGAGAGACAGACATGGCCTTGGGTTCTATGTGCGCATTTATTCACCTCTGACAGTTTTGGGGTTATTTTAACATTTAAAGTAAATCAGTAGGCAGGTCACTGAGAAGGAAATATTGAAATAAAGTGAAATACCTGGAAACTGAAAAATTATAATTAATGCAAAAGTGACGTGTGTTTTTAAATTAATAAGAAGATTCTGAATTGTTTACAGACTTGGATGATTAGATCTGTTCATTCAGAAACTCCATGATCCATCCATAGTTAATGGATACTCTCAGCTAAAGTAAGAGGGTATTCACCATTTAGTAAGATTTACAATTAGTGCTGTATCTGAATTATTATCCTTCAATTATGCAAACAGGTAAGCCATGAGAGCTGTAAGGCTCCTAAAAAGCAGAATAAGAGCTGTGCTTTTGTTAATATGCATGGAATATACACATGCTTTGAGAAAAGAATATCAGGAAGAGCTGAGAAACATTCCTCTGGAGATTTCATTTCACATCTCATCTCTTCACAACTGCCCTGTCTCTTTCTTGATTATTGCTTTACCCTTGGTTCCAATGAATGCAATGTTTTCTCAAGTGTCAGCTACAATTCTGAGCAACTGCTTGATTTCTGCCTTCAGAACAAGAGTATTGGCCTTAACTAGGTGAGGGATTTTTGTTCATTTTTCTATTCTTCACAGTTGATGCGATACAGAGTAAAAATCAACGCTTTTGAATACGTAGTGGTTATATTATTTGTGTACAGTGTTTGAAGTCATTCTGAGGTGACAGTGTACACTTCAAGTATACAAACAATCGAGCTACCTTTCTTCTCATCTTTCTCTCTCTCTCTCCATATTTCTAATACTAGCCATGATTCATTGCTGAAAGATGTCCAGGTTGGTTGGTTGGTTGGTTTGTTTTATATAGTAGAACCTGAACCCAATTCAGCTGTGTCTTCTGGTGGTGAAATGAAGTGTTGAGCTGTTATTGCCTTTTCAGGAGCATGGCAGCTACTTTTTTTCTTTTTCATTAAGATATGTGGCAACAAGTTCTGTTTGAAAGTTATTGTGTATTCCGAGTTACGAGGTCTTAAACTCCAAACATTGGTTCATTTACATTCTACTCATTCCAAGCATCACTGCTAATTTTGAAAATGTACAGAGTTCATTGGCTGGCCTATCTTCTAAATACAGCCTCAATGCCTAGTGATAAAGCACGTCCTCTCCTATATGGATAGCCAATGTCACTACTCTTCTCTATTTTTTAAGAGAATGTGTGGTAAGCCTAGAAATTTTGATTCATCTTTGATACTTCTCTGAAGACATCACTTTTTATTAAGTTTCTTTGCCTTGCTGTAGGATGTTATGTCATGTCTATAAACCAAGAACTTTTGAAGCTCCATTTAAATTGCCTTATATTTGTACATGAATGAATTATATATCATGCCTGTCTGCCTCAATCTAGGTTTGCACGAGTCAGAAGCTCTGCAGTACTTTAAGGAAGAAAGTGAATGATATTGAGACGCAACTACCAGCTCTACTTGAGGCCAAAATGCTGGCTGTATCGGGTAAGTTTTAAATTCTAAGAAGGGCTGACGTTGATGAGTGGCACATTAGATCTTTATATAGCTGAACCATCTTGGGAAAAGTCATTGATCTACGCTCATATAGATCCCTTAGAGTCTTGGTAAGCATGGTAGAACCAGGCTGTGTCATGCCTTGCTTAAGGTACTTCAGGCCTCTCTCCACAGATGGGAACTACTTGTTAAGAGATTACTGTGTGGTAGACAGTAAATATGCAAAGAACATGATGTTTTTCCACTTTCCATAAATGACATTGGTAAATAATAAAGCTTTTTTTTTTATTACTTTATGATTCTTGGACTTTACAAGTTAAATACCTAGAGCTCTCAAGCTAAGGGTCATAATAAATTTATGACAAAGGTGCAATAATTACAAATATGGCTTTAAATGACCTTTTAAAATGGAATAAAATAATTGGCTACAACTACAATTCAGATCAGTAAACAACTAGTGTTCACAATGTAAAAGCCATTTGGTCATTGGAGCACTCATGCATGTTATTTACAACCAGTATAACATTAAGATGTCATTACAGAGTCTGACTTGTGACAATTTTATGTGACAGTTATTTGGGACTAATGCACTTTTTACTAAGGAAAGAAAGCAAAGCACAGCTATTTCTCTACACTGAATTACTTTCTATTGAAACTTTGTGCAGTGTCACATGATTTGTTTGTGAGAAGTGGATAATGTCAAATTTCAGCAAAATCCAGAAGGAAACTCAAGTTGAGATCTTGTGATAGTAATGAGTGTAGCCACTTTCTTTTGCATTCGTGACACCTTTCAGAGTAGAAACCCTATATTTTTTTCCTGTGTTCACCTACAAGGTAAGCTGAGCAATCGCCCTTCTCTGCCCCTTAGACCATTTGAGCCATTTCATGATTTTCTTGGGAATATAGTAGCCCAAAAACTGAATCTGCAACTGCTCCTTCTTGCCAGCAAGAAGTGGTTGGCCGGAAAAGATGTTCTTCAGTTTGAGACTTTAAGAGAGCAAATAAATACTGGAGTACTATTTCCAAAACATTTGTGACAATATTTTGTACTTATTAGCTCTTAAGAGAGGTTGATTGCTTCAGAGATGAATTCAAGAGTCAATTTAATGCTGATGCTTCTACAAAATGCTTTTTTACTACTGTGACCATAATACTGTGTATTTGCAAGATTTTTAAAAAATATTGGTACTATTTCTTTCTATGATAAGGAGCAATATTTCTTTTTTTCTTAATCTGAAAAACTCTTTATTCAGGGGAATTTTAATGACTAAGCATTACAATCTTAAATTGTTGTTAAGGTAAAATTCTTTAATTATCTTTCTGAGAATCTCAACAGGATTTGAGTGTTTTTTGCTATGTAAGTTCATCCCCAGCGTCTTCCAAGGCTGCGTTGAACAACTTTTGATATCGCCTTCCCATTCTGTCCAAAGTTTTTTATAGGAAACAATACCCACTAGTACCATGTTCTGAATTTGGTGCTACAAATTAAAACATATGAAGTCCATCTGAGTAAACAAATGCTATTTTACAATGTGAGTGATAGAACTAGGAGCCTTTTGGGATCTTCCATAACTGAAAAGCTCTGAGCACTATAACATAAACATATATTTTCATACGGTATAAATCTTTGTTTGACTACAGTATATGTAAAAGTAAATCCAAAAAAAGTGTGAAGTCCAACTGTGTTCTGGTGTAGTAGATGATGGAAAGCAACAATGATACTGAGAAGAGAAGATTTTTTGTTGTTTGGTGGCTTATTTACAGTGAGGTTGCAGGTGGAGACTTTTTCAAGAACACCTGGAAATTGGTTCTCAATCCTAGGCTTGCTGATGAAGAAACTGTCTGGACTCATATGCAAGGATTAGTTTGTCTGAACTGTATGCGAGTGTAAAATAAGAGGCACATTTATGATCAAAACCAGTTTCAGATAATCCCCATCTTAAATAGTGTCCTCTGACATCAATATGAGGGCTTTGACTTAATGTGTCTTTATCAAGACCTATTTGTTGTCTCCAAATCTAATCTGAATAGCTTTCATTTCTAGGTTATGCTGGGAGGCACAATTGCATAGACGTGCTGTACATTGTACCACTGTTCTTGGGTTTCTCTCTTGGAAAAAAATGTGGGATTTCAATTACAGCTTTGTAGAATGACCATGACTTTAAGTCTGTAAGTGAGCTGCTTTTTAGAAATGCTTAGAAGTGTAAAGCAGGAGAATGATGAAGCAGGTTATGTGCCTTAGATGTGTGTGCATGAAGAGAATGAAGAGAATTTAAAAGAAAAAAGATGAACTTCTGGCGTACCATCAAATGTGAATCAATATTGCAGAGATTTGGTAGAGGAAGCTGAGACGTGTAACTTCAGTTAGTTACAAATTATAGTGTATTGTGATAGGCAAGCAGAGGGAAAGATATTGCATTGCATAATAAATAAATAAAAGCAAAAATGTGACTTCTGAAGCTGGGGCAAAGATGTAAAACAATGTAATTTAATGCCCTTATGTGAGAATACTTGAACAATGTCTTGTTACCATTGTATCAGAAACAGAAGGTGACTGGGGCTCTTCAGGTCCAACTAGTAGTAGAGTTGAAAGCCTGGAGTTAAAAATAATGTGTGCTTGTTCCTAACAGGTAAGTAATGCTAAAATGGAAAGAAAGCATCAAAGATGATTAAGCAAGGTAGTGAGTTGTGATGAAGATAACTTCTTTGCAGGGTCAGGGAGGTAGGAAAAATGCGTACAAGTACAAGGGAAGCAAGTAATTTAGATCTCATTTTTGTAGCTGGAGGGAACTGGTCAGAAATCAAAGGTGAAAGGTAATTTTGTAACAGTGCTGCAATTTCTTTCACTTGTATTAAGAAATGGCTAATTATATTAGATGTAATGGCTCTCATTTTTGTTAAGGCAGAATAGTATGTAATGTATAATAGAATGACAAAAAAAAAAAAAAAAAGGTGCTCTGATGACTGGAAAGCTGAAAAGAGATTCTGAAGGAAAACAAACAAACAAAAAACCTAAAATAAAAACACTTTAGAGCACAAACTTCTAAAAATCAGAAAAGACAGGACGCAGGCAGTAGGAAAGAGGGTCAGGAAGAAATTATTTGGTAAATTCAGAAGAGGAAAGGGGAAGGAGATAAAATAGCTAGTGTGGGGTTTTTTTTGTTGTTGTTGGTTTTTTTGTTGTTGTTTTTCTTAAAAAGGCAAAAACAATGAGCAATGAATAATACAGAGAAAGCTGAAGTATTTAGGTCTTGTGTAGTCATGTGTCATGCATAAATGAATGGTATCTCTTAAGGCATAGTTAAGAAATAAGTCTCAACCTTAAAAATACTGGTCATCATTTAAGCAAGATATTGTATGTAAATATCCCCTGAAATGGTGGTACTAAATCATGAGAAGTGACAGAATCCTCAGTTGGGAAATACGCAGCTGTTTAAATCATAGAATCATTAAGGTTTGAAAAGACCTCTAAGATCATCCAGTCCAACTGTCCACCTACCACCAATATTGCCCACTAAACCATGTCCCTAAGTACTACATGTACCCTTTCCTTGAACACCTTCAGGGACAGTGACTCCACCACTTTCCTGGGCAGCCTGTTCCAAAATGCCTCACTGCTTTTTCTGTAAAGTGTTTTTTTTTCTAATATCTGATCCTGAATCTTCCCTGACAACTAGAGGTTTCCCTCTCCCCTTATGGCTGTTACCTGAGAGAAGAGGCTGACCTCCATCTTGCTACAACCTTCTTGCCGGTCACTGTAGAGAGAATAGGGTCCCCCGTGAGCCTTCTCTACTTCAGACTAAATGGACAGCCTTGGAATAGTACAAAATGCAATGGGAATTATTAATTGTGCAGTAACATTTAATTTTACTGGACATACTTTTCATTTAGTCTTGGAAACGTTAGGCAAGGATAAACATTATTTCTGCTTTTTTTTTTTTTTTTTTTTTTTTTTTAACCGTAGCAACTAGATCATTCAGTGAGATAATTTCCTTAAACATCAATACTAACAATCTGAGAACAACTGTTTTCTTTTGAGCAGATGTTGCATTGTCTTCATTTAACACAGCATTTCCCCCCAGGAACAAGTTAGTGTTAAAGGTTTTTGGAGCAGTGTCAAAGCAAGAAAGTAACTGAATGCAATTACATGCGATTGGGTTTCTGTATCCCCATAGTTAAGCTAGGTAAAATTAATGTTTTAATACTTATTTTCTTTTCAGAGCTTTCGTATGTGTGATGATGTGATGGTTTGGAATGTATGATATACACCTCAGCATTAAATAACTGCCTGAATAGCTTTGGAAAGTACTAATGTTCTATATGTACTGCACTTTCTATTGCAGTTACAGCGATTTACAGTTTTTGTGTATGTATACTAGAATATATGCAAATAATATAGCTGGTCTTGTTCTGGTAAAAAAAAAATACCAGCATAAATGCAATGTAAGCATAGCAATTCTGCCATTTTGTCGATCCAGTACCTTTGATTTTAAGACTGTGTAATAAAAGATTCTGTAAACCAGAATCAGATGACAGCAGAGATGATACCATGTATGTACAAGTTCTTCCTTGCTATTATTTCTTCTCTGAAAGAAGTGTAATACTAAATTCAGAGGAGAAACAGAAAAGAATTAATGCTCAGATTTTTGAAGGCTGTAGAATAAATACAGCAGACTAATGGCATTATGATGAGATTTCATAAGGAAACAAACAAACAAACAAAATCCTTATTATTGAATGCTCAAGAGCTATTTCTATCAATAGCTAAAATTCAGGTTATCTATATACGCAGCTCTTTAAATTCTGATTGGCATTTGCCTACTGTGATAGATAACTTTGAGTTAATACTCCTGAGATGCTAGTTAAGAATTTTTCTCCAGACATAACTGATAGAATCTATTATATTGCTCACTGTTCTGAAGTTAGTAGCTTTAGCTACTTTTATAAGTAACAAATACTCTTCATTGCATGAGATTTTACTGTTGATGTAC